ATTGAAAAATAAATATTCCCTTCTTTCTCTGCTGTTCTCACCTCAGGCCATGAAAATGTGAGGATTGTGAAAAAAAATTTCTTTTGCTCTGAGTTCCTAACTCTAACTTGCAATATCATGTATCTGAAGAGATCTCAGATTAGCTCGTCTTTCTTTTTCTGGTCTTGTCCCCTCATCCTTTCTCCTTTTGATAAATTTGTCTCTAGAAATTGACCACCAGAATACTTTCCTTCATAGAACATATTTCCACATGGACCCTGTAATGCTCCTTGATTTAGCTCAAATATATGCATGCTATTGTCTTGCTATATCCTTGATGCAATATACACTTTCTTGCATATCCAAACAGAAAAGGAGCTCAAGAGCTTATGAATCTTTTAATAAAGTTATTTAATCTAAACTATATGATGATTATTTAAATATATTCTGTCTAAGAAAGTATAGGACAGCCCAGTGGGTGAATGTTTCCATTCTAGAACTAAATTATTACTAATTTTTAATAAAAATAAAAGAGTAGAAGTTCTCTCTCATGGCTACATGTCCAGACTGGAGTTTTAATAGTTTACTTTTTCTGAAAATTATTTACAAATGATGTCTCTGATGCAGTAAGGCAATGTTTTTCTCTAGGATGGAGATCTTAATATTGAAGCAGTAATTCCACTTTTCAGGGGGGTCTCCTGACTTCCTGGATACTCCAGCATTCCAAGTAGCAACAGAGAAACCACTGACTGTCCCTCAGAGACTTTTCTTGGTCAACATTTCATTGGAAAATTGAGAAACATAGGTCAAGGTTGTTAAAATCACTTACTCAAAATTTATATGAACGTTTATAAACACATTTATAAGGAAAATAAGATTAAAATTGCAGTCTTCTCAATTTATATAGCATATTCCTGCCAAAGCATAAGAAAATGCCAGTATTCCTGAAGGATGCTACTGTTACAGGCAGCTGAGCTAGTTAAAAATACTATAGGCAGTCAGACAGGGCTAGGCCCTCAAAGAAGCCAGTACAGAGGACCAGATGTTTGATGACTCTGGAGGAGACACACATCTCTTTCCGTGGGACAGAAGGCAAAAAAAATGTAACTACACCCTTAAATATAATCCTTAGGCATTAAGTCTGGATGCACTGCTCTCTAAGAATGCCTACCTTCTACATGACTTGCTTCCCCATTTGTTCCCAATTTGATCAATTTTACCTGAGCTATGAATCTTATTGGCTAAACATATCTCTGTCCTACCTCATGCCCGTCTACCTCAGGAGTTCCCGGTTTTCTCCGAATTTAGACCAGCCTTACCTCTTGGTTTTACTCTGTAAAAATCCCTAGAAAAGACAGAATCTTTAGCACTTGGGATCCCTTGGATCCTTTCTGTCTCTTTCTGTTTATTTCTCTCAATAAGTATTTCTACCTTTAACCTCCATTGTTCCTAAAATTCATTTTAGAGAACACACACTTGTTCCAGACATACAGTAGGTCGAGAGTTTCATTCCCCTATATCAGTAACACCAATTTGTACCTCTACCAGCAGCAATATAGATTCATTGACTCAAATTCTCATGAAAACATTGGACAGTTAAATGCTTTCATTTTAGTTCCCAGTCTCGTAGGTGTGAAGTTATATTTCATTTTTATTTAATCTCACTGATTGCTGAGGTGGACAGCTTGATTAATGTGTTGCCTCTTCATTGAAACATATTCTCATATTTTTGTTCATTTATAAAAATATATTCTTCATTTTCTCATTGATTTTAGGGCCTTTATTACATTCTAGATCATTATTCCTTATCAGTTACAAGCATGAAAAGCATTTTCTCTCATTTGTGGTGTACATTTTTTAAAAATTTAATGTCACATTTAGCAGTATTTTATTTTATAATTTGTGCATTTTTGTTTTTAAGAAATATACCTAAACCAAAGGCAGAAATATTTTTATTCTATTCTTTTTAAATTTTTAGCATTTTAAATAAGTCAATTTTAGATGTTATCTTTTGGATTCTTGGATAACCAATTAACTCAAAATATATCATTCTATCTAACTTGGAAATACTTTCCATTTTTAGATTCTATATAACACGTTCCTGGTCTCAGTCTTTGTATATACTGTAAAAGTTTGTTAAGCCTTAACCACGTACCTTGGGTTAAAAAATCTTGATGAAAACTAAAATCTTTACTCCATTTTTTTCAGAATATGTTGAATATTCTTGATTCTTTATTACTTTACAAAGTTTTTCACTCATTCATCAAGTTAAATGGGAAAAATCTGTTTTTGAAGAGGAAAAGAAGCAGCCTCCCAGAATATCAAGTCTTTCTCCTATAAACATGTTTGTAATCTCCGTATATTTTGTTTTTATGTTTGTTTTTGTACTGGGGATCAACTCAGGACCTCTAAGCACTTGAGCCCCTGAGTTAAATCCCTGGCTCAAAATCTCTGTATTTTTAATATTTGTTTATAGGTTAAATTTAACAAATGAGATTTTAGTATTATATATATATTTTTTTTTTTCCTAATTAAGTTGTGTTTCTAATAGTTGGTAAATTGAGTAGAATATCAGTATTCAATTAGAATTTATATCTTTGATAACTAAGTTATTTTTAAGTCTAATAATTTGAAAAATCTTTGTTTTTATAGTGATAACACATTATACATAAATAATGATATCTCATTTACTATTTTTCCTTGTTTAGATTTTTCTTTCTTATAGCATAGTACTGTTAAATGGAATTAAGAAGAGGAAGAAGAAACTTGTAAATTCTTGGTTTTAAAGGAAAATGATTTTGTACTTTTTGAGTTCTCATAAATTTCTTCAAGTTTTACATATTTTCTTAGTCCATCTTTGTTAAGAATTTTTATCACTGAATTATTAAATATAACAATATTTTTAGATGATCATAAGCTTTTTTATTCTTAAATATCAGAATAGGACAATAACAATAATGATTTCTCAAGATAAACCATCTTCACACTCCTAGGGTTAAATCTTTCCCTTAGTGTATTATACATATAAGTGAACATGATTTATTTAGTATTTTGTTCAGGAATTTTGTCTTTATGGTCCTGGGTAATCTTGGCCTTTAAATTTCTTTCCCTTGTTAGCTATTGATTTTTTGAAACTTCTTCATATCCCCTTTCCCAAAATATTATGAAAGAAATTCAGGCTAACCTAAAAAGAATATTACTATGAATCTCTGTGTATATTAATGGTTCCTCTTCTTTCATTCATATTCCCTTTTCTTTGTCACTAACACACTGAGTATATTGAAATAAATTCTGAAAAAATGCATCTGTATTATGTTATCTTTGAATGATAACTATGCTTTATATAATTTCAATATCATATTGAGCCCCCATATATAACCATTTATCTTCATACACGATCACTTTAAATAAATAACCTTATAGCTAGTATTTTCCTGTTTGTTCAAATCAAACTACACATATTAGAATTGGCAGATGTTTCTTTGAGAAGCTGAGTGATATTTTCTTAATTCATTGTTGAGAAAGAAGAGTCATTTGCCTGATGGGATTTCATACTTTCTGGACTTTGCTGTTTTATCTTTTTGCTGTGACATAAAACCTGTTTTTCATCTTATATATTTCCTGGATATTGTTACCTAAATATTGATCAGATGTTTTCATAATTAATTAATGATTTTTCATCTCAGAACATTTTTACACTCATAAAAATATTTAGAAACCCAAAGAATTACAGCTAATGCAGTTGTTGATCTCTATAAGCCATTTAAAGCAGAAATTTAAGAATATTTATGAGTTTTCTATGATCATTTTTAAAACATTTCATAAAATTCTTTTATGTGAAATACTGAAGAAAATCTAGCAGCCTATGTCTCAAGTAAAATTGTGTTACACAAAAGCACTGAATTAGAACTCAGTGTACACCATGGTTTTCCTCATAAAACCCACTGAATTTTAGGTTGGAGGCTTCCCATTTAGTCATGTATATTATTAAATTATATGGGCTCAAGGGTGTGATTTACTAACACTTGTTCATTATGTTCACTGTTTCATCCACTTCTGCCCACCCTCAATCAAGAATTTCTTAGCACAATGCAGTTCCCTCCATATCCAGAATCAATTCAAAATCTCTGCCTTTGATGATCATTTTGACTGCAATGTCACATGGTGAGAGGTGAGAGGGTAGATGAGGACACAATGTAATGTTTTTACAACCCTGCCTTTGCAGGGAAAGACTAAGGAAAGACTCCCAGAAACTCTCCAGAAAGTGCCAAGAACGATGGGGTAAGTGTGTTTGAAGCAAGGGAGGGTATTTTAAAGGGGAATCAATGGTCATGTGTCTTTTACTGGAATACATTTTTTAATTAAAACATTCACCATAGCTTTTGGTAACTCCTACTTTTTCTGTCTTCAGCTGTGTTCCTGTAGAGCTTCACTCCTGTAGAGCTTAACTCACAAAATCTCTTGAGATTCTTTCACTTACTACAAAGTTGAAGCAACAACTTTCAAGCTTTGCTTCTTCCCTTGGATTACATTCACTGGTATCCTTCAATAATACATTTTTTTTCTTCACCAATACATATAATTTCTGACCAGTACACTTTTCATTTAATAATTTTCCTTAAAAATTATTTAAACTGCTTAAATACACCTGAAAAAAGACAGTTATTCCAATCTTACCCAAAGCATGATACTAACATTAATTTTTCTTAATGTTCAAGGCCACAGTATTTGCACAAGCAACTGGAACATCACTATTAATGCCACAGGGCTGCCTTCATTCCCTTCAGTTTCTCAGAACAGGGTATCTGGGAGATTTGGGGGAAAGTTGATACTTCACCTGTTCTTGGGAACAGACCTGACCTGCTAACAGGAAAGTAGCAACAGCTGTGGTGATTCCCAGTCTTTGGCAGGAAAAGTCTCCTCCCACTGATGGGAATCTCCTGGAATCCATGCCAAGACCAACACCTGACCACCCCGTCCTGCTTTTGAATTCCAGGTATTCATCATGCCATCTCCCTCAGAACCTCTTATAAAAGCCCAGGCTTTATTGCCTTAACGTTCATCAGATTCTTGAAAGAGACAAAAGAGGTAAGTAGGAGCTGAAATAAATGGAAGAAGTGGAGAAGGTGAGGAAATGCCTCTGGCTCCAAGAATGCAGGAGCTTAAACTTAGCAGAGGCTGCCCTGGAAGCTATCAAGGGAAGTGAGGAATGTAGATTTCCCAAGTCCTTCCAAATTACCCAGGGACATGGGTATGACCAAGATCACTGCATCTCTATGGAGCCAGACACAGGAGAAGAAAGAAGAAAGTGATACTGTCTCTGCATGCCCTCTATCTGACCATGTCACCTTCTAGCCTGATTACCTTCTTGACTGCAGGCATCGTGCTGCCTTCCATGGCTCTCAGCATGTCCTGGGTGTTGCTGTCCTGCCTGATGCTCCTGTGTCAGGTTCGAGGTAAGTTTTCTGTGCCCCTGACACAGGGTTCCCTGTGAGTGTCAGAGCCACAAAGGGGAGGAATGTGCCTGTGTTTTCCCTTGGTAATGGTGATGTCCTCCACACAAGGGATCTACCAATAAGTCCTTCACTGCGCTGCCTTTCTTGTGATTACCATCAATGGAAGTGCCAGAATGGCCCAAGCCCAATGGAATGAGATGGCTTCTGATTTGGTCAGGAACCTGTGTTTTATATTAGGATTGAAGACAGAAAATGCGAAAGTTCAGTAATTAAAGTACGACAAGGCAAGGATTGAAGCACCAAAGCATGCCTGTCTCTCCAGAGTTAGAGGATAGGAGAACACATGGAATATCAGATGAGGGAGAAGTTCAAAATAAAAACAGTTGTTCCTCATGTAAGAGGACTAGTTTAAGATAAAAATAATCCCTTTAATTGTAGAAAAAAGAGGTAAAAATTCAGGATTATGGACTTAGCATCCAAGGACAGGTCTTATAATTATTCTCAGGGTTATCTACATTTTGCTCATACTTTTTTTGCCCCGCCCCCCACAAAAGGTGAAGTTTCCCAGGAGGAGCTGCCCTCTCCACGCATCAGCTGTCCAAAAGGTTCCAAGGCCTATGGCTCCCACTGCTATGCCGTGTATAGGACCCCAAAATCCTGGATTGATGCAGATGTGAGTGCTTGTATGTGGAGCTGTGCATTACAGGAAAGGTTGATAGGAGGGGTTCTCCAATGTTTCTTGTGAAAGAGAATGAAGAGCCTTGATTTTCTTATAAGGTCTCCACTTGAGTATTAATGCTGTATTATTCCCCACTGAGATCTCATTCTCTTTTCCCATGCAGCTGGCCTGCCAGAAGCGGCCCTCAGGTCACCTTGTGTCTGTGCTCAGTGAGGCTGAGGCGTCCTTCGTGTCCGCACTGGTCAGGAGCAGTGGGAGCTCCTCCCCATACATCTGGATTGGGCTCCATGACCCCACACTGGTGTGAATCTAACTATTTTCTCCCTTATGTTACCTGTCAAGTATTGTTGTCACCTCTCATGTGAAAGACCAGAAATAGTGCCGGGGAAGTAGACCTCAGGTTTTAGATGACATGGGAAATCCAGGAGATCCACTAAAGAGCTGAGTACTGTGATGTGCCTCACCTTCAGATTGTTTTAATCTGCCTATTTTCAAGAATTACTTAAACCACTCATGATGCCTTGGAAATAATTTGTCTGAGTTTCAAACAAGTACACAAATTAGGGGACCCTAAATGAGAATAAGTCCATATTTATTGATTATATAATAGATACTGCTTTGAATTTCTGAGGATAATCACACATATACTACAAATTATGCTCAGCAAGCAACTTTCAACTTTGAGTGTGTCCAAAGCTCTTCTGATAATTGACTGGTATTTGCTAATGGGAAAGAGGCATTCAAAGAGAAAGTTTAGTAGAGCGATACGGTCAGTATGTGGAGAAGTGCACCACATTCCATGAGGTACTTAGAAAAGAGATAATGCAAACAAAGAGACAATGACCATTCCATTCACCTGGCCGCATTTTCTACTTCACAGGGTCTAGAACCCAATGCAGGTGGATGGGAGTGGAGCAGCACTGACGTGCTGGATTTCTTCAACTGGGACAGGAATCCTTCCACTGCCTCTGACCGTGGTTTCTGTGGAAGCCTGTCACAAACCTCTGGTAAGAAACACTGGGGCAATCTCTACCCAGACTTCTACATCTCTTTTGCATATCCGCAGGCCTGACCTTCCAGCAATCCTGCTGAGATAGAAATCCATTGTCAGCTTCTATTCTGCCATCTTCTCTTACCTTCCCTGTCTCTGCATCTCCTTCTTTGGTTCTGTGACCCTGGTGAAGATGGGAGTGCTGCTTTGAAGCCTCTATTGCACTCTATAATGTCTTTTCTTTAAGTTTATGTGATTCACCAGACCTGTTTCCTTTACCTGTTCTGTCTCTCCAGGATTTCTGAAGTGGAGAGATTATAGTTGCAATGCACAGTTACCCTATGTCTGCAAGTTTAGAGACTAGGGTGAGTAGAGAGGAATCTGAAGTTGTATGTTACTCATCGCCAATGGAAGAGTCTGGGTGTGAAGATTCACCCAGGAAGACAACATTTTCACCCCTTCACCCCAAGTGTGACCCTCCTTATGATCTTTTCTCTTACGCTTTTCCCCTCACCCACATTTCAGACTCTTCCATGTTAAGCCATGCCTCAGAGAGCAATAATAAACATTTTTACTTTATACGTGTATGTTTTCATGTTTTCTCCTTATATGGTCGAAATATACTAATGAAATGCAAGGGATTAACAGAGCAAATTATTGTTAAGTAGGCTGGATAACCATCACAAAATGATAAAAGACGTTGATTCTCAGAAAAGATGTGAAAACACTTAACAACTATGCACTTAACAAGAGAATATCAGATATAAGAGAAATTAACTTATAGATAGAAAACTTTATTGTACAGATGTTATTTGACTTTTGGGGGGTTGTCCTTTGATAAACACTTGGTAAAAGTGATAATATTTTAAGACAGAAAATTACATCTAACTTACAAATATCACAGCAGAGCAGCGCAGAACCCCAATACATCACTTATTTACTAGCTGTAAAAGCAGATAGCTGGTGCCTTTCAACGTCGTGAAGAGTATCATATCAGAGTCACAGTCCAAGAAAATATTAGAATTTAAAATTTGAGGTAGAGTATCTAATGGATGAATATTTTGTACCATCATAAAATTGAAAAATCATAAACTGAACCATAGCAGTGATGACCACCCATGCTTATACACTTAACATCTCTTTTAGATAGATCAAGCAAGCAGAAAATTGGACAGATTAATGTTTACCTAAACAGTACTATTGATCACCTTGATCTAACTGGCATTTAAAGAATATTCCATACAGTGGAATGATGAACCGTCTTCTAAATTTAAAGGAAATGTTCTCCAAGATCTGCCACATCATGGGACCTAACATATATCTGAATAAATTTAAAAGAGTAGAAATCATGTAGAGTATTTCATCGAATTACAGTGAAATTAAACCAGAAATCAGAAACATAGAGAAGAGATCCTAAAACATTTGAAGGTTAAACAACACACTTCCAAATAACATATGGAGAAAAGAAGTCACAGGAGAACTTAAAAAATAGTTTGAACATAGTGAAAATGCAAATTACTTAAAGCAATACTTAGAGAGAAATTGATAATATTAAGTTAATGTATTGGAAAAAGAATGACCTAAAACCAACAATCTTTAGGAAACTAAAGAAAAAAATGTATTTTAAACACAAAGCAAATAGAAAAAGAGAAATAATAATAATAGAAAAATTTTAAAAATTATTTTAAAAATTCATAAATTCTATAATGAATCTCTAGTAAGGAAGGAAAAAAAAGGACATCAATTACATTGGAAATTAAAAAATGATTTCAGTAGACTGAAAAATGCCCTCTTCTCAAAAGTGTCCAGAGCCAGGGATGTAGCTCAGTGACACAATGCCTGCCTGTTTGATTCCTAGTACCAAAGAAAAAAGTCCATCTCCTTTATTTTTTTTAGAGAAAAAAAATTCTAAGCATGATAATTATAGGGTAACAATGGTTAATACATTGTGTATGGTCACCTTTAAATTAGTTACCCAGAGCACAAGATGTCTGCATTTAGTTATCCAAACAATATTTGCACAAATATTTCTTCTTAATGACATAAGAGAAATTAGTATTATAACTATCTTAACTATCACATATATGATAGTTATACATAATTATATATATATATATATATATATATATATATATATATATATATAATTTATTTCAGCTTTTCACACCAGGAAGACAATACAACATTTATATATGAGAGTCTGATTTAGTTCACTTAAAGAGTATGATCTCAAGTTGCATTCATTTACCTATTAAGATCTCAAATTTATCCTTCATTATGTCTGAGTAGTACTCTGTTGTTCAAAAAATGCCAAATCTTTCTTATTAATTCTTTGGTTGATAGGCATTTGTGTTGTTTCCAAGATTTAACTATTACAAATTGTGCTGCTATAAATATGGACGTTCATATACGGCTGTGGTATGATGTTTTTTAATTCTTCTGGAAAGATACCCAGAAGGAAAATAGCTGGATCAAACGGGACTTCCAATCCTAATTTTTTGAAGAATCTCCACACTGATTTTCAGAGTGATTGCACCAGGCTACATGCCCACCAACAGTAGACATTGGTTTTGTTTTTCCCCAAAGCCCCTCCAGCATTTGATATTGGTTGATTTCTTTTTTGTATTTTTTATTGTTTATTATTTTGAAGGTAGTAAAATACAACAGAACAAGACAGAACAAATCCAATTGAGAGAATACAATGAAATAGGTACAGAATGTCAAAATAGGTTACCGAGATAACAGTAATAGGTGTCATAGTATAGCTCATTATCTTCACAATAGTTGTTCTTTCAATCAGTTATAGCAAAATCAAACCAAATACAGAATAGTATAGAACTTATCAAAACAGAATATTGAATAGAGCAATACAATTAATCAGAACAAAGCAAAACAGTGATAATTTCATTCAAAGAGATGTTAGAAGAACATCCCCCTATTTGCTATATTGCATGTGGTCAACCTCCCAAGAGATGCTCAGACCTCTGACCCCCATTTGCTAAGGCAGGGCAGGCGAAGATGGGATGTTTAATTTTCAGCCTGCGCCGGTAGACTCACTGCTGCTTACCAGGGAGGCAAGCGGGTTGCTTTCTTTTCCAGCACCCTGAGTTCCAACATGGCAGGATCTCAGGAGAGGCTGGCTGATTCTCCCCCTGGGCTGCTTGCCGCTTGCTCGGGCCATGGCTGCTTACAATATTGGTTGATTTCTTGATGATGGCCATACTTTCTGGGGGGAGATGGAATCTCAGTGTTGTTTTAATTTGCATCTCTCAAACGATCAGTGATGTTGAACATTTTTGCATATATTTATTTACTGTTTGTGTTTCTTAATCTAAGAAGTATATTCATCTCAGATGCCCATTTTTAGATTTTGCTTTTAAATTAGGCAGGTCTGATTTTTTTTTTTTTGGTTCTTTATAAGTTCTCAATAGTAATCCTCTGCCTGAAGAACAGCTGGCAAGCATTTTTTCCCACATTATGGGTTGTCTTTTCACTCTGTTGGTGGTTTTGCTGTGTTAATCATTTTTAATAAGACACAACCCCAGCCAGGGATTTAGTTCAGTGGCATAAGCTCTTGCCTTGCAGGTACATGGTCTTGAGTTTGATCCCCGTACCAAAAAAAAAAAAAAAAAAAAAAAAAAAAAAAAAAAAAAAAGACGCATCCCCAGTTGTTGATTTTTTGTGATAATTCCTTTGTGATTGGGGTTTTGTTCATAAAGTCTGTGGCTGCACCAATGTTTTTAAGGGTATTACCTGTTCTATTTTGCAGAAGATTTAATGTTTCTGTTTTAGTATCTAGATCTTTGATTCATTCCAAATTTATTTTAGTGCATGGTGAAAGATACTGGTCCAATTTAAATTTCAGCATGTGTAGAGCCTATTTTTCCAGCACCATTTATTAAATAGGATATCTTTTTTTTTCCCAGTGAATGTGTTTGCACCACATTCAAAGACAAGGTGGCTGAGTATGTCTGAAGTTGTTTCTTCATCTTTTAATCTGTTCCATTGATCTTTGGGTGTGGGTTGTTTGTTTGTTTGTTGCCAGAACCATACTCTTTTTATTACAGTAGGTTTATAGTATAATTTCAAGTCAAGGATTGTGTTGCTTCCTGTCTTGCCTTTGTTGCCCAGAATTTCCTTTGCTATTATAGATGTCTTCTGGTTCCATATGAATGTTAGTACTGTTCTCTCTAAAGAAATATCCATATCTTAGTTCCTGTAATTTGTCAAAATGTTATTACATGGCAAAGAATATTTTACAAATGTGATTAATTTAGAGATACTGAGACATGTAAATTATCAAGGGATAAGTTGGTGCAAACACAGGTCCTTATGAGACCCTGTGATTATACAATCTCTGCTCCTTTATACCCATACCATCCTATTGAACCCTGTATAGTTTAATGACTCAAACAGAGCTCTGTGTCTTTTGGCAAAGTTGATGAAAATACCTGTCCTCTTTAGAATTATGTTTTGATTTTTATCTCTAGAAAATTCTCCTCCAGAATTCTTGGAAAAGAGGGTAGAACTGGCTCATTTTGTGTATTAGCCCCTAACGCCTACAATTTGTGCAAGCACTTTACATTATATCTAGTATCTGAATTCCTCATAATTTCCACTTCTAATTAGAATGTTGACAACTCAAAGGTGTCTGTCTGACCTAGGGCATAGGCTTCTTTTATACCAGCTTAATTAAGGTTATCTTCATATAATACATTGAAGTAAAAAGAATGATTTGAAAGGGCACAGATTTATCTCATGATTAAAGAATATTGGCAAGTCTCTTGAGAGACTAGAAAGAAAAAAGAACAAAGTCATAAAGCGAGGTTACTCTTTCCTTTCTTTTGTCTTTTGTCTCTATTTCACTGGGATATAATCATAATTTTACTGGCCTTGGACTATACACATAGTGATCAAACAGCGACTTAAAGTCCTGCTTTACATGTCACTCCAAGAATGCGAAACTTTGTGTTCTCAGTTGACAAATGCCATTTCCAGAGAATGTCTAACTGGTCCTTCTACAACTGGGCAGTCTCCTCAATCCAGTCCATTAGAACCAGCAATGCAGTCCACTGGGGCCAGAAATTTTAGCTGCCTGTTATAATTATGAGCATCAGTCTTTCCTCCTAAGGAGAATCTGCTAATGAGATCCATTTTTTTTATTTTAAAAAGAGGAAAAGAGAACAGTAAAATGAAACAAAACAAAACAATAATAGGATGGTAGGAAATCCACAAACCTTACTATATTACATATTTTTAAAAAGTTGGTACCGGAGATCGAACTCACAACTGTGTGCTTGCAAGGGACTATATTGCATATTTTTATCCTCTAACTAGTTACCCAGACCGAGATCTATTTTTTAAAGAAGAGAAATGAGATAGCTCAGATTTTTTCCTCTGTCACCCCCTTTTAGTGACCGTGGCTTACTTTCTGACACACACATCCTTTCTTGGATACTGATATGTTGTCCCAAGTATTGTATTTGCTTCTAGTCTTGGACCAACTCCACACTCTTAGGAGTTATACAGCTGCCTTTGAGTTTACTATTCTCATTGGCCTTACACTATTATTCATTACT